GCACAGTTTCCCCAAGTCCCGACTAGGGTGCCTAGCAGGCTGCGAGTGATGAGCACGGATATGGAAGACAAGGGTGAGGGTGAGGGTTTGGGCTCAGGTTTGGGAGGGGAAAAGTCTCTCTCACATGCGATAAATCCGGTGTCTCCCTTGCTCTATGCGTCATTTGGTGCTAACGAACGACATTCGGGCTACACGGAGGAAACAGAAATGCAATCATCTGGGTATTCAGAGTCAGATGATGGACAAACGTCTCGTAAGTCACGAGGGCTGCGGTCAAATGCAGGGAGTCTGCGGTCACTTGTTTCGTCTACAGATGGGTCTAGTGTCGTGTCTGCGCGGCGCACGCGTACGGAGAGCGGGCACGAGCAGCGTGTTGGTCTCGGGATGCACCTTGTGATGGATGACGACGATGAAGATCATCCTGTAGTTGATAAGGATGCACGTGTTGAAGGCGATACGTCGTTTATGTCGAGCGAGGCTGGGACCGTTTCCACAGGACATACTGTTACTCCAGCGTCGCTCTTGCCATCGACGACAGGTGTGCCATCTGCGCTTATGCCTCGGGCACCTGCAGCACTTACGCCAGGATCATCATCTACACCAACATCTGGTGTTTCACTTACCCCCGTCGCTTCGTCAGCACTGAGTCCGGGTACACCATCAGCAGAGAACTCTCCTTCAGGCCGAAACGCACCGCCACCTTCGACTTTGCGTCCCCGTCAGCCCAACCAAGCACCCCATCCCTTCTCACGTACATCGATATTCCTCCCTCATCCTAATGCTCCCAAAATAGCTCCAGGAAGCCAGGGGCTGGGTCCCATGTATGCACGACCCCAGCTTCCCACTGCAAACCCTGTGTCAATACCCCCCGTGCAGCCACCGCCCAATGCCACAGCGTTCTCCGCTCAAGTTCTCCGCCACCTTAGGAGTATCTTCCTTGGTCCTGGTGTTGGCGCTGGCGTACGTAGGCCGCCGATGACGCTGTATGCTCGCTGCGAGCCTGATTTGAATTCGAGTACTGGTCCTGTGCCTATCATGTTCTCAATGGACCCACTTCCACCATTACAGGCTCGCATGGCTCATTCGGGCGTAACAGCTCCTCCCTCTATGGCTCCTGTACCGCCCGTTCGTGCTGCAACGGTCTCTACTCCGATACGAAGGGGCTCAGCTGCACCTGCAGCTGTTGGATCTCTTCGCGGGGCCCCACCACCTAGCAGTCCGAAAGATACCAGTTCAAATCCGAGCGCTGATCCGACTAGCACTTCACCACTCAGACTGCCCCGGCGGTCAGCGACGGCGCTTGTAGGTGCACAGGAGCCACCTACGAGTAGTAGTGCGCCGATGGCTCCAATCTCGCGCCCGAATTTTGTCCCGCAGGTTGGCGCTGCCCGACCGAGATCAAGGTCATTCTCGGGCTTTAGGGAAGCTGGAAATATTGGTGCTCTGCCTGAGCGAAGGTGAGTTTATTTTGGACAGTGAAGAGTCGAAGCTGATGAGCGATGTAGCCGTGAAGAACCAGAGTCCAAGGCGCAAAGTGCATCTGTGACTGCCGCCTCCACTCCTTCGCCTTCTTCGCAGCCTGCATCCATGTCTCCACCCACACCAAATGGTCTTCCAGCTTCTTTGAGGGCACGTCACATTCCCTCGCCTCTTTCCCTACATAATGGCAACTTTAATCGTGAACGAAGTCCCAATACTGTCGTTTCTTCTACCGATACTCCATCCCCCAGTGCAGGCCATCTCAAATCACCAGTCACCCCTGGTTTCCAGCAGCCATCTCCTATTCCGAGTGTCACGAAGTTCGGGCTGCAGCCTCCGTCTATAGGAAGCTCTTCGGCGAGCCCTGCGCCCAGCTCTAGTCCGAGTCTCTTCAGCGATCGTGACAAGGACGCATCGCCGGCATCTGCGATGACGGGACGCACATCAATGACAACTAACAACGTTGCTTCGCCACATCCTTGGGTAAGCAATGTTCATCAGGGGTCATTGGACGTACCGAGGAAGAACTCCGTCGATAGTGCGCCTCCTCGACAGAGTTCTGATTCTACCGATTCACATTCTCAAATGGCATCTCCACCTCCTATTGCGGAATGGCACTCACAGTCAACGCGGTCATTGCCCCTTGCACATGAAGTCCAACTTCGGGGAAAGCTCAGTCTCCCTGTACTTCGTGGTAAGATTAGTATCAAATCGAAGCTTGACGATACTGTGAGCGTGACATCTTCGTTGGACAACCAGGAGAACGAAACTGTGCAAGTACAAGACATGGACTTTGAACTTGTGAAACCAACTTTACCGCAAGCGTCATTGGGTCGCTCCAGTCAAGAATCCTCGTATGCTGGACGTGATGCTGATGCAGTGCGCCTCGATTCCCCTGGTATCATGCAAGGTGATGCTGCGTCGATGCATTCGAGTGCCCCACGGTCCCCCATGTTCCCCGATGTGATCTCGTCGGGTACCCCACCAGTGGAGTCACCTACGTCAATAGATGCTCACCGCCAGCGTGAGGTCAAGTGGATGGCCCTCTTACCTCTGGTACCGCCATCTCAAGCACGCAGGAACAAGAAGGTCAAGCGTCTCTTGTTGGACGGAGTGCCTTCGTCGGTACGATACTTGGTGTGGTGTCATCTCAGCGACAGTAAAGCTCGCGCGATTCCTGGCGTATATGCGCAGCTTGGCAAGAGGCAAAGGGTCCCTGCTTTTTCCGATATCGAGAATGATGCAAAAACATATTTCCCTGATCAGACACAACTGCATCCTTTCGATGGCCCTTTAGTATCACTCTTGCAGGCCTATCTCAATATGGTGCCAGATATCCAATATAGCTCAGGTACATTTTCGTTGTGTCCGAGCGTCGTATCGCTGCTGATGCGCATGATGTACGGTTGTCAGGGCTGACTTCCATAGCTGGTCATCTGCTGTTGCTATCACCCGAAGAAGATGCTTTTTGGATATTCGCTTCGATGATGGATGCCCATCTTCGTCCGTACTTCTCGGCAAATACCATCCAGTTGGAAGTCGATGCTGCATTGCTCAGCAAAGCCATCGAAACTAATGATCCTGCTGTGTGCAAAAAGCTGTATGTCACATTTAGCATCCCCCCTAGTGCGATAGCGAAGTCTTGGTTCGTATCAATACGCACCTCTGGGGTTTAATATTTTCTGATCTCGCACAGGTTTTCTACCCTATTTGTCGGAACACTGCCCGTTGATTATCTTCACCGTGTCTGGGACATTTTCTTGTATGAAGGTACGTGACGCACTTTTCCTTCTTTCGTCACATTTATACTTTATTAGGCGTCACTCTTTTGTTTCGTGTTGGGCTCGCGCTCGTTCAATGCGTGCGACATCTGCTCTTGCAAGCGACATCGGAAGAAGCTGCTATGGAATACCTTGTTCATCCACCTCTCGCATGCTTACCCTCGACAGCAGACGCATTCCTTAATCAAGTCCTAATGATGAAGCTAAAAGATGACGATGTTCGAAAGCAACGTGTCAAAATGGAAGCACAAGTCAAGCGCCAAACTCAGTCCCGTACCAATGGTTCTTCAGGCATGCAGACTGCATCCATATCTCTCCCGAAAACTTGCTAAGCGTGTTGTTGTCCCAAGTTAGTTCCTTTCCATTCTATGATAACCCTTCGCTTGTTATTATCACCGCAAAATCGCTTTGGACAGTATTTGTTTGCATAGGTCGTTCATTTATTGATTCCCCCACATTTACCTATGATACCGTAGTGAATTGTATATATTCCTGGCACTCTGCAGAGTATCCATAATGTTGTATTGCTTATAGTCTTGGTCCTGGCCGCTTAGTAGTGGTGCACAACGTGGTAATTAGATGCAAATTAGATGTGGTTCTAGCTCGCTGGGTGACTAAAACGGCAGACGTCCGAGTGATCGTGCGGCTATAACTCCATATTTCTAGTGAATTTAGTCACTGCGCTGTAGGAGAGTGTCACCGTGACAGCTTGTTTGGATGGGCACACCTTGGACAATACATCTTCTAGGTGTTCTGGAGTATTTCCCCCCCTTCATGTATGTAAGGAGATAATTGCATCGATAAGACTGATCTATGGCAGATGGGAGCCACCTTCTATTTCAGGTATTCCGTCATCGCCAGAACACTGCCACTGGCTGTAGCCCGGGGCTAGCCCATAGGCTTCACACGGCTTACTGTTGGCTCGCCACTGGCGGTAGAAACACTGAAGGAGAAACCGCACAGCTGATCATGAAGATCGCCGACATCTTTTCCCAGCACAATGGCAACATGACGACCGGCACCCCATCCCAAGAACGTGGTTCCACGTTGTTTGTCGTTCTAAAATTTCATCTGCTAAAATGTGTTCTAGGTTGAACTCCTCAGGCTTGGGCGTCGAGTAGATACTAGCATTGTCACCGTCGTGAAGGTCGCCTGTTTGGGAACATAAAGTGCGTTTCGTGTGAGATGCATTATAAGTCATTGGTGCAATATACTTGTCCTCATGAAGGGCCCTTTGAAAACTTAGCATGCGCAGGTTAGCATTTCAGGGATGCAGAAAGTGAAGATTGGCATCTGCGTTTCTGTCGTTGTCGCTCTTGAATTGCATTTGCTGAAAAGTGTTCTGGGTTGAACTCCTTCAAGTTGGGCGTCGAACAGAAATCAGCAGTGTCGTGAAGGTCGCCAATTGAGACCATGACGTACGCGCCGTGTGGCATGTATGTATGGTCCATGAAGATGTCTCGTATCCTTCTCCTCATGTAGGGCCCTTTGAAAAGGATGCGCAGTGTTTCGGGAATACAGGGAGTGAAGATCAAGGTCTGCATTTCTATGGAATGCATATCGGAAAGGAGTGGTGTGGGAGTGTCCTTGTAGCATCTGAAGGTTAGAGAGTCTTCATACAATTCCTGGCCCATATTTGGTAGATGTTTGAAAATTCCATCAAGACTAGTTCACTCGGGAAGGTGCGTAACGATAAACACTCTCCCGGAACGGTGAGGCTGGAAGAATCCACGTATACAGCTACAGTACCTCTAGTGTCCTGATGTCCGCCAAGTAGCTAATAGAAGCCATGTCTTTAACCTGTGCAATAATATCATGGTCGGATGCGATCCTCTTGAATTCTCCGTCGCGCTGCCGCGCTAGTAAAAATGCACTAAACGGCTGTCCAAGATTGACAATCAACCGCAATGCTCGCGAGTCAGAATCCGAATAAATAGGCCCGGTTTGTGCAGCGGGTGAATCATGCAACGAAGATTCAGGCGCGGACCAATTGTCCACGCTCTGCATATGGTCTGCAGTGTCATGCAGCCCGAGAAGATGGCGACTCCACGGACGAACGAGCAAAATCGTCTGCCAGGCGGGCGGCGGCCTTGCCGGCGAGAACGGGGTGAACTTGTCTTCTGTGGTGATATCTAGGTTGCAAAGACCGTCTGACTTGACTTCATACGTATATGTATTCTGGTCATGACCTGGCTTCCGCCTGGCTTCTATGACCGGAAATACGATGCAAGGTAGATGCAACCGGCGGTGGGTGAAACGGGGAGTGCTCAGATAGTCAAGTGTCTCATATAATTGCGAAGCCGACTGTAGATCCACAACACTCCGCAGCGAGGAGACCGATGACTGAATCTCATCTTCGGATGGAGGTGAGAGCTTGCATGGTGGAGCTTCGTATGAAGTGATGTCGGCTGGTAGACAGCTATTGAACTCTGATGACTTTCCGACCCAGTCCAGCGCAGTAATATCCCCAGATTGAGCTATGATTTCCTGCAGGAGCCGCCCGAGCGCGTTCTGCTTCTTCTCGCTATAATCAACATGCAGACGGACACCAAAGACCCCGAATAACGAGTATGCGATGTCTTCTTGTAATGTGGTGATACGTGTCGACGCCCACTGAAGTTTCTCTCGGGCGTTTCTCATCCCGGGACGGAAGGCCACCACTGCTCGTCGGTCTATTCCCGTCGCATCCTCCAACTCTTGCATGATCGCGACGGAATCCTTGTGGTTGGGAGTGCGATCGTCGAGATAAGGAGTCCAATCATTTTGATAGAAGAGAATGACTCTGGGAGCAAGGAATTCTTGCACCGTCCATCCGCGGGTGTTCCAAGCGCTCTTTCCCAGCGCGCCAGGCTTTGACAAAGGCGGAACATCCGAGAGGTATACGACCGTGAGCGCAGAGTGGTGATACCAAGCGAACATGGACTTGACCGATGCTTGGAGCTCAACATCGACGCTCTTGTCAATACAGCACGTGTCGCTCCATGCCCAGCGATACCCCAAATCACGAGCAGTTTTGCAGAAGGACTGCAACTTCTTGATGCCGCCCACTGGATCCAACTTATAGACGTCCTTGCCCTGGATGTCCTGCAGCAGCGGCTCCTTGCCTTCCCACCTGTGCGATAGCATGACATATTGGAAGTACATCATCACCACTTCTTCGATGTGCTTCATTTGAATATCTCGATGCGTGATGGTTGATAATACAAGCTCCTTATACTCTATGCTCGTTTTGAAGGTCCGTATCTGTGTCTCTCGATCGCATAAGAAACCGGTGGCGGTGTCGAGTGCACGCAGCGGAGCATTGTCAAGTTTAGCATCGATGACCTTTCGAATAGCACGGTCTACCTCGGATGGACTAGAATACTGTTGGCGCAACTCTGCAGAAACAGTTAAAGGATGTTGACGCATGAGCTCTCTGAGGCTTACTTCGTGTCTCAGTGTCAGGAGCATTATCCAATTTTGAGAGCATCATTTTGAAGGCTGCAATAGCTTCATCATAACGCTGCGCGCCATGAAACGCTGCATGCTCCAATTTGTATCCAATATGAGACGAAGGGTTGAGTTGGATGACCTGTGAATAACCACAATGAGTAGAGGTTAAAATAAATAAATATACGCTATCACACCTTCTGCGCATCGAGAAGCGCGTCGTCCCATAGCATTTTCCCCAACCTTGCCTTGCTGCGCTTTACAAAGACAGCATCAGATGCACAATTCAAGTCGATCACTGCCGAGTAGAGGTCGATAGCCCTGTCATAGTCGCTTGCAGCGAGGGCAGTATCCCCGCTGGCAAGAAAGGGCACGCTGCATTTGTCCGTGAAAGCTGGGTGAGATGGGAGTCAGGATTGTAGCCTGCGCGACATCACGAACTCCAGACTTGCCGTTGGACCATTCAAGGCAGCTGGCCTTCGTTGTTTCATCGATATTGACCATCATGTCTCGGTATGATCTGACGGCATCTTGAAGCTTGCCACCCAGAAGGAATGCATGACAGCTTTTCTGGTGTGCAGTTAGCTGCAACGATTTGAGATCCCAGCCGAAGAGCTGGACAAGGGATTCGGTTATGAAAAGGATTTCGAATGTATATTCACGTACCACCACCAAGTCCTCATACATAGAATGGATGGGTGAACTCCATGAGAGAGCGCTTGAGTTGACGACGGCAGTAAAATGGTCAGCGGCTTCTTCGTGGCGTGCGCCGTCCAAGGCCCTGATTCCTAGTTGAACACCCAGATATGCCTGATGTGCGAGTTGCAAAGCTTAGTGCTGATGACCAAGTGTGCATAATACTTACTTGTACAACGCAACACGCGAGAGCATCGGCATTCGGACAACCAATAGCGAGTTCTTTGAGGAGCAGGTTTGCCTCGTCATGTTGATCTGCATTGAAGAGAGCGATGGCCTGAGATGCACGATGAAGCGGAGAGTGTACGAGGGAAATGTAACATACTTTGATCAAGAGCAGGAAATGGAGGATTTGCGGATCTTGGTCCGTGTACATTGATGCAACATCAAATGTTGCCCTCGCATCCGGGATGTGGCCGTTTCCGCAGAGGGCAATACCCTTGGAGATGTAGCCTGTTAATGAGGGCCGAATACTGATGGACTTTGTTGTCGTCGAGTTAGCCTTCTGTCAGGGGGTCATGGCCAGTGCGTATCACTCACCTTAATTGCATCCTGAAGGGCGTGGTCCCAGTCGTTTTTTCGGGCCATCACGAATGAGCGATGGGCATAGCAAGTGTGGTTGTTGGCATTGGTGTTGATATCTTGCGTGAGTAGGTCTTCGGCGGTAGATAAGTCTCCATCTATGCATGCATGCCGGGCTATAGTGATGGCGAGAATCTGGATGAAGCATGCTCGAATTGTGGTACATGAGTCAAGATGGAAACATGCCTTTGAACGACGGGCGTAGTAAGGATGGGTGTCCGCATCGGTGTTCGAATTAATGTCGCTGGGTACTGCCCACTCCGAGATCATCTCATCTTCGCCTCCGCTGAGGATGTGGTTGCCGTCTACGGAGAAAGCGACGCAGAACGGCGTGGATGAGTCCTTGAAGGTAGTAACAGTTTGTCGATCTGAGAGCCGCCAGAGACAGAAGTGGTTGTCATCAGATGCGGATGCGACGAGTATACTAGCGGGATCAATGGCAATAGCATTGATATAGTCAGAGTGGCCCATCCAAGGATCACCGACCTGCCGCCAGGTTGTTGTATCCCACTCGCGTATGGTAGGGTCAGAACTACCACCGCCTGTGAGAAGGCGTGTACCATCAGGCGTCCATGCGAGTGAGGAATTGAATGTGTGACCCTTGAAGGATGCAATGCGTTTGCTCGTGCTTCGACTACAAATTTGAATATTCTTGTCTGTTGCGATGGCAAGAAGTTCTCCAGAGGGCGAATATCGTACGCAACTGACGGGACTATCACCCCCGATTGGGTCTCCTTGTTGCTCCCAAGATTTGGTGTTCCACAATCTCGTCATTCGGTCGTCATATGAACCAGTGGCCAGCACTGACCTATCAGGAGAAAAATCCAGCGAGGTGATATAATTGGAATGGGCTTTGATTTTGGTGAGTGATGCTCCAGTTTCTCCGTGCCAGACGATGACCTCTCCGTTCAGATCACCACTTGCTATCAATTGCCCGTCCCGTGATACCGCCAATGCCAGCACCCAATCGCGATGCCCCTCCATCTTCTTCAACACGGCACCTGTCTTCAAGTCCCACAGACGAAGCGACTTGTCGTACGAGCCCGTAACAATCCGTCGTTTATCAGGAAATATTGCGACTGCCCTTATGCGTTCTTCATGACCTTTAAGCTTTCGCAGGGGCGTGGTGATCGGAATGAGCTCTGTCATCTTACTGGAGGTTGATGACGTTGAGCGCGGTCGAAGTGGACTTTGGAGGAATTGGGGATGTCTTTCTCTAAGCTGCAGAGGTACGTGTATCGTGCGGTTTATGGGTCAACCTGTCTCATTTCGATAGACGCTCAGGACACTCGAGGCTGTTCGCCTCCACGCCTTCATCACCTTTACAGTACTTGAACCTATTATAGCTTCCCCCCGAACACGTCATGTGACTTGCCGCTGGGGATTCATCCATCCAAAATGACCCCACCGAAGACGCCTACCTTTTTGCTCGGAGTCCACACGATACCGTTGTGGGCACATCCAAATATTGCTTGTTCTCCTCGATTCCTGTTCGCCACACGTCACCACGGCAATACGCATTCACTATTAGTGAACGAGCGAAAAGCTCGGTCGGATGACAAAGTCAGCGGCGATGATATGGAAGAAGACCTCGTGAACACTGTCAGTCAGCAGCTCGATACCAGGACATTCTAGGGAGGAATGCTCACACATATGAAGAACATTCATGATTTCTGTGACGGCCTTGAGTATTCAATGATCATAGAATGCTTACCATTCCCCAATGAAACGGTTCAGCCTTGCTTCGGCCTGCAGACAGCTGCGACGGGGAAATTCGTTTCGAACACAGAGCCCAACAATACAAGAAAAAGAGACTGCAAACGCTATATCTTATTGTGCCCACTCACTCTACATGATATTAGGTTGATCCTTCTAGAATATACCATATATTGTCCCGTTCATTATCATTGAATCATCGTACTACACTCGATATAATCCTCAACAAAGCCACTTGAAAGGAACAACCATCATTTATGGGTGCCGATGGCACGTGTCGGAGAGGAGGTGAGAAGAGCTAGGTGAGCTCCCCGCTGATAGTATCACCCATGTCACGATAGGCATCGATCAGCGCAAACGTTCGCAGCCCATGTTGCATATATCGCTCGCCTCCCATCACCAATGGTTTCCTTTCTTGTTCCCCACACTTCCTACGGGACCGCATGCTCAGATACGAACAGCGAGTGTGCCATCTAGAACGAACCAACAGTCCTGTCTGGCAAAGCCGACACGAATGCTGTAGGACTCGGTGCCTCATACGAGGTATCAGACAGTGTGCCATCATGATACTAGCATGAAATTGGTCCTCTGCAAATAGACACAGCGTGTCTCTTCATGTTCTCACCCTCGACATAGACAGATGAATGAGCAAAATTACGAAGACCAAAAGAAGTCACTAGTCAGGTACGTCATTGGCAAAGAGACATGCACAAATTTGCATTCATCATCAATGATAGGACCGATAGTTGTCCCCGCATCCAATAGATAGATTCCATCTTCGGTAGAAGCACTGGTGTTGGCGGTGAATCTCTCGTATCGCCAAAATTTCTTTTTATCATTCTGAAGACCAACATGGTCGTGCAATGAAGCAGAAGTTGCCATAGTAGAAAGAAAAGAGCCGTGGAGAGTACTATGAACGCACAGCGACGCAATAGCACCCGATGCCTGTAGATGGCTATTAGCTAGAGTATCTCTACCGTACCGATGTCCATATTATCAATCGATACAATGTCTTTGACTTGTGCAATGATGTTATAGTCCGACGCGATCCTCTTGTATTCTCCGACACGCTGCTGCGCTAGCAAAAATGCGTCGAAAGGCTGTCCGAGGCGAACCATTAACCGCAACGCTCGTGAGCCAGGCTCCTCTTCAACAGGCAAACCGCCGGGTAACTTGTCAGAGTGATCCATGAGGGACCCAGGCTCCGTGCAATCTTCTATGCTCTTTGGATCGTCTGCAAAGTCAAGCTGCTCTGCAAAGTCAGGTACCCCGAGGAGATACCGATCCCATGGGCGGACAAGTAAGAACGTCTGCTGAATAGGCTTTGCCCACCAGAACTGAACTAGGGTCTCCTTAGTGATGATTAACAGGTCGTGAAGCCCGTCTGCCTTGATTTTATACATGATGAGAGCCTCCTGGGTTTGACTGTGCATCCGTCTGACTTCCGTGACACGGTATGAAATGCAAGGTAGGTGAAGTCTGCAGTTTGCAAAGCGAGGAGCTCTAAGCTGTTCAAGCTCGACATAAAATTTCAATGCTAGGTCTGCAGGCATGGTTTTTCGCAGCGAAAAGACTTGCAGGTGAATATCATCTTCAGACAAGGGTGAAAGGGTGCGTGGGGGGGGGGTGGCGTAGGAGGTGATATGGCTGGAAGACAGCTATTGAACTCGGAAGGTTCTCCGATCCAGTCGAGTACAAAAATGTCGCCCGACCGAGCCACGATCTCTTGCATGAGCCGCCCGAGCGCATTCTGCTTCTTCTCACCATAAATGACAGGTAGTGTGATGCCGAAGATGCCAAATAATGAGTACGCAACGTCTTCTTGCACGGTGGTAACGCGCTTCGATGCCCATTGCAGTTTCTCCCGGGCGCCGCTCATACCTGGACAGAAGGTCATTAAAGCCCGCGCATCTATGCCTGTCGCATCCTCCAACTCCTTCATTATTGCAGGGGACTCTTTGTGGTTGGGAGAGCGATCGTCGAGATATAATGACCAATCCTTCCGATAAAAGATCACAACTTTCGGAGCGAGTAATTCTTGAAAGGTCCATCCTCGCTTGTTCCAAACACTCCTCGCCAGTGCACCGGGCGGGGATGAAGAAGGTACATCGCATAGGTAGACGATGGTGAGCGCTGAATGGTGATACCAGACGAACATGGAGTTGATCGATTCTTGAACCTCGGTATTGCTCTTCTTGTCGATACAGCATGTGTCCATCCACGCCCAAAGATACCCAGCATCACGAGCGACTTTGCAGAACGACTGCACTTTCGCGATGCCGCCAACTCCCTTCAACTCGCGCACATCTTTATCCTGGATGTCGTGCAGCAACGCCTCCTTCTCTTCCCACCTGTGTGATAGCATGACGCAGCGGAAGTATATTGCTACTACTTCCTTGATGCGGTCCAGTTGGAGGCCTGAATGCTCCGTTGTGCATGACAAAAGCTCCTTGTACTCTGCACTCATTTTGAAGGCATTTATTTGTGCCGCTCGATCGCACAAAAGACCCGTGGAGGTATTGAGTAGACGTAGGGGGGCATATTCGAGTTCCATCCAAACAGCTTTTTGAATAGCGTCCTCCGCTTCGGATGGACAGACATACTGCTGATGCATATCTGCAGAACAACGTGGGCATTTTGAGATTATACGGGAGTGTTCCATGGCTTACATCGTATCTGCGCTTCGGGAGAATCATCCCACTTGGACAACATAATTTCGAAGGGGATGGCCTCGTCGTAACGTTGCGCACCACGCAACGCCAAACGTATCAACCGGTATCCTACATTCGACGAAGGATTGAGTTCGGTGACCTATGCATCATCGAAGTCAACATGGGCCATGAAAACATAGAAACTATCGCACTTTTTGCGCATCGAGAAGCGCATCCTCCCAAAGCTTTTTACCTAATTTGGCCATACTACGATTTGCAAAGACAGCATCAGATGGAGAGGTGAGGTCGATCGCAGCCGAGTATAAGTGAATAGCACTGTCAAAATCGTTTACAGCGAGGGCAGTATCTCCCTTGGTGAGAAAGATGGCGCTGCATTCTTGCTTGAAAGCTGAGTGAAATGCGTGTGAGGATTTATGACCTCCGGTGACATCACTGAAGACTTGCCGTTGGACCATTCAACGCAGCTGACTTTCGTTGTTTCATCGATGTTGTCCGTCATGTATTGGTATGATTTGACGGCATCTTGAAGTCTATCTGCCCGAACGAGTGCATTACAACGTTTCTGGTTTGCAGTGAGCCACAATGATTCGAGATCCCAGCCGAAGAGCTGAACGAGGGATTCAGTTATGAGAAGGATTTTGGGTGCGTATTCACATACCACCACCAAGTCCTCATACATAGCATGAATGGATGAACTCGATGAGAAAGCGCTGAAGTTGAGAACGGCGGTAAAATGGTCAGCAGCTTCTTCGTAACGTGCGTCATCTAAGACCTTGATTCCGAGTTGAAGACGCAGATATGCCTGAATACGCGAGTTGCAAAGATTAGTGTTGATGACCAAGTGCGGATGCTACTTACTTGCACGACATCACACGGGAGAGCATCGGCATTCGGACAACCAGCAGCGAGTTCTTTGAGGAGCAAATTGGCCTCGTCATGTTGATCTGCATTGAAGAGGGCAATAGCCTGAAATACACGATGAAGCGGAAAGTATGTGAGGCAAATGTAACATACTTTGATCAAGAGCAGGAAATGGAGGATTTTCGGATCTTGGTCCGTGTACATTGATGCAACATCAAATGCTGCCCTCCCATCCGCGATGCGGTCTTTTCCGCAGAGGGCAATACCCTTGGAGATGTAGCCTGTCAATGAGGGCCGAATGCTGATAGACTAAGTCACCGTCGAGTTAGCCTTTTGTAAAGTAGCCATGATTATTGCGTATTATCGCGTATAACTCACTTTGATTGCATCCTGAAGGGCGCGGTCCCAGTTGTATTGTCGAGCCATCAAGAATGAGCGATGAGCATAGGAAGCGTGGTTGTTCACATTGGTGTTGATATCTTGCGTGAGTAGGCCTTCGGCGGTAGATAAGTCACCGTCTATGCATGCAACGCGGGCTGTAGTGATGGCGAGAATCTGCATAGAGCATGCTCAAATTGTGGTGTATATGAGTCAAGGACGGAAACATGCCTTCGGATGAATACCCTGAGGTACTGCCCACTCCGAGATCATATTATCTTGACCTCCACTGAGGATGTGCTTGCCGTTCACGGAGAAAGTGACGCATAACGGCGTAGATGAGTGCTTGAAGGTTGCAATATTTTGTCCATCTGAGAGCCGCCAGAGACAGACGTGGTTGTCATCAGATGCGGAGGCGATGAGTATGCCAGCAGGGTGAATGGCAATGGCATTGATTTGGCTAGAGTGGCCTATCCAGGGATCACCGACCTGCTCCCAGGTTGTTGTATCCCATTTGCGTATGGTAGGATCAAGAGCACTGCCACCTGTGACAAGGCGTGTGCCATCGGGCGTCCATGTGAGTGACATATTGCTTCCATTGTGAGCTTTGAAGGATGCAACGCATTCTCTCGTGCCTGGATTATAAATTTGTATATTGTCTTTTGTTGCGATCGCAAGAAGTTGTCCAGAGGGCGAATATCGTACGCATTTGACATCACTACCACACTTTACTGGATTTCCTTGTTGCTCCCAGGTTTTAGTGTTCCACAGCTTCGTCAGCCCGTCGCATGAACCAGTGGCCAGCACTGTTCTATCAGGAGAAAAATCCATCGAGTTGATCCAACTGGAGTGGGCTTTGATGGGTTCGGTGAGTGAGTTGCCAGTTTCTCCGTGCCAAATAATGACATCTCCTTTCAGATCACCGCTTGCTATCAATTGCCCATCTCCTGATACAGTCAATACCTGCACGTCACTGCGATGCCCTTCCATATTCTTCAACACGACACCTGTCTTCAAGTCCCATAACCGAAGCGTCTTGTCGCATGAGCCCGTAACCATGCGTCGTTTATCGGGGAGCACTGCGACTGCGGCCATCATGCACTCTTTATGACCTTTGAACTCTCGCAGGGGTGTGGCGATTTGACTGAGCTCCAACATTTTTCTGATGGTTGATGGTGTTGGGCACGGTTAGGGTGGACTTTGAAGGGATCTTGGGTATCTTTCTTTAGATGAATGCCTTCCACTTATAGCTTACAGAATGTATTCCATCGCATCAATCGACAGTTGGTGCTTTCCAATGATTATCTATCTTGCACAGCATCGTTGTTTTTTGCGTCGAGCAACTATTCCAGCACATCAATATGTCAGTCCTTCGAACGCATACATACAGCTTACTGCAATATCACCCCTTTATCTAGCCTCCTCCCGAGGCCTGCTTGTGTACTGGATACAGCCCTTGAAGTTCTCCCTTCTGGCCTCTCAACTCGTCACCAATTCTGTCGCAAGGAGCGTTTTGCTTCCAGCGGTCTGCAAAGACATGATGAGTTTGTTTACGGTAACTTAGCCTACTGAAATGCAGGAGTTTTTTTCCCCATAGAACATCAAGATTTTGCAAGTAGACATCAACCAAGGATTCGTATGCTCCCCCTGGGACTAAGCTGGGAGCATCTTGGTCCATGATATATATATAATCGTATAAGAATGATGTACTCGTCGGTCATGCTCCCTGACTTATAAAGAATTCATTGCCGGATTTTTATCACACTCAGCAGCAATATAATGGGAAAACAACGGAAGCCGCACCAGTGGAAATGGGATGACCCCTTCCTCAAGTTCTAGACCATCCAAGTCCCTTGGTAAGTCCAACACCTCCACTTTTGCCAGGTCTGCGCTCTCTTTTCAAGCAGGCCCGCAAGTGTTTCCCTCGCCACAGCCAGGGGTGTCACGATCAGCGTCAGCATAAACCCCGTGTCTGCAGCTCATGTTACATATGCATATGTCGCCCGCGCCGCCTATCATCCTCGTTAATGTTTTGTGCTTGTAGGACGGAGAAGGTAGTTTCTAATGAATGTCTGATTTGAATATCAAGAGGCTGTGAGATAGTATCTGTGCATGCATCGACACGGTAACAATGCAGATATTATCATCAAAACACAAATGAATACCTCGAGATGCCTAATTTCAAATATCTGTAGATATTAGCTACAGTATTTCTACGGTACCAACATCCATGCTATCAACCGATGCAATGTCTTTGACTTGTGCGATGATGTTATGATCTGACGCGATCCTCTTGTATTCTCCGACACGCTGCTGCGCTAGCAAAAATGCATCGAAAGGCTGTCCAAGGCGAACCATTAACCGCAACGCTCGTGAGTCAGGCTTAGTGCTGCCGAAGTCCGGTTCGGTCCAGTTCATGGCCCTATATTTGCGAACCCCGAACCTGACCATTGGTCAGGTTCGAGCAAGGAGGCTGAACCATGGACCGGACCCCTGTGAACGCGTTCGGAAGGGTTCGGTTCAAGTTCAGAACGCGTTCGAACCCTCGAACCCTTTATTTCAATTTGCAAAAAAATCAAAATTTTACAAGACAACAACGACAAATTTGTACGCTACGTACAGCTACTCCTCGTTCACAATGACGGAGTCTCGCAGATCTTCTCTGTGGGTTTGACCGCTCGACCAGAACGACGTACAAACGAATTGAGAGTGCCGTTGTGTGCAGGAGCAGGGGGAGGAACCATTGGAGAGTCGTCTTCGGCATCATTGTACCACGCTATCTCACTGGCGTCTTTCAACGAACCGTCAGCGCGACGTGCAGAGGACATAGCAGCAGGGGGCATAAATTTCAAACCTAGGTACCAAGTGAATTTATTTAAAACTAGATTTAAAACTGTTGCGCACCATGAAACACCAAAATGAGAACCCATGGCAGATAATCAGTATGGTGAATCACAACTGTAGGTATGTTCTGAAATAAATCACATCATAAGTTAATTGTGACAGACAGTAGACTTGTTGCGAACTCACTGGCGCCTGAATGAGTTGCATTACTGAAGTAGCCGAGAGATTGCCTTGCAGGAGAAGTAGGAGAAGACGGTGAACAGAAGGGCAAGGATGATACTTAAATAGAAAGCCTCACCAAAAACATGAGGCTTCGACTTCGAAAATCGTAAGTCAAAGCCAGCGACATGATAGGTTCGAACCGGTCCGGATGCGTCCAGAACCGGTCCGGATTTATCGACAACACACCGAACCTCGAACCTACCAAGGGGTTCGGTCCAAGAGAAATTCTGGACCTGTGACCGAACCATGGGTCCGGTCCACAAAGGTTCGGGTTCGAACCTAGGTCCTGGACCGGACTGCGGCAGCACTAGTCAGGCTCCTCTCCAACAGGAAAACCGCGGGGTAACTCATCAGAGTCTTCCATCGGGGACCCGGGCTCGGACCAATCTCCTACACTCTCTGTATCGTCTACGAAGTCAGGTCGCTCTGCAAAGTCAGGTACCCCGAGGAGATGCTGATCCCATGGACGGACAAGTAAGAACGTCTGCTGAACGGGCCTGGCCCGCCAGAACTGAACTAGGGTCTCTTCAGTGGTGATCAGCAGGTCGTGAAGCCCGTCTGCCCTGATTCGATACGTTATGCGTAGTGATGTTCAAGGCCCGGCTCGGCTCAAAAGCCGGGGCCACGGCTCGGCCTTGGAGGGCTGGGGCTTACTTCAAACCAAGGCCAGGCCCTATGGTAGGGCTCAGGCTCGGCTGGGGCTTGGCTCGGCTTGGGCCTAGGGCCTTGTGATACAAAAAACGTAGCAAGTAAATCAAATTTCATCTAACATTTGAATAAAAACATCTTCGTCATCTGATTCTAACAGCTCCTCATTCTCACCTAAATCCTCGGCAACATCATCCCACCCATCATCTTCGTTGAGAGCAGCAGGAGTCTTATCTTCGGACAATGCATCATCTACGAACTCGGTTGCAACAGATGGGTCCTTGCGAAACAGGAGATCGTGTTTGATCATGCATTTCAAGCACTGCAGTGCTTCGACGATGTCGTGTTTGAGACGATTTCGGCGCTTGGAGATAGTAATACCAGCAGATGAGAATGCACGTTCACTGGACACAGATGTGGCCATAATGGAAAGGAAGTCACGCGCGAGTGACGCCCAGACTGGGTATCGAGGTGCGTTGATGCCCCACCACTGCACAATAGTCATATCTCCAAGGTGGTCCTTGGAGTTGAGGTAAGCGTGAAAATTGTGCCGCCACGGCTCATTCGCAGCTTCGGAGGGAGTAACAGAATTTGTGGAACTCGTGCGAGAGATTAGGGTGGGCTGCAGCATTGAGTCACTGTCATCCTCGCCGTCAGAGAGCTCTTGCAGCAGAGCATCGAGTTTGCGATTCCCTGTCTTCCTGACCTTGACTTCGACACCATTCCTAGAGTCGGGATCGTTGCTGTACATTTCGAGATACCGTTCTTTGTACTAGATGTACCATTAGTGAGTGTGTTGTGACGAGAGCTTTGGAATTGTACTTACCATCTCCTCTGCATGTCTGCGTGCTTCGACAAGCAATTCCTCACCCCAATACTTGCGAAGATGGGTCTCCTTTTGTGACGGATCGAGAACTGTCATTGGAAAGTCAGTGGGAGTAATATGTACATGAAAGAACAACGCACGCATCGCCATAATATGGGCGTCAGAACTACTCGACTTCTCATAATACTTCGCAATCTTCTCAATACCAGCATCGAGGCCCTCCGCAAAATCAAGATACTTGATACGTCCAGAACGTGAAGACCATGCGCTATGCAATGACTCCAATGCAGGCAATGCTAAGTGAAGCATTGGTCCTTGTTCAGATGAGAAGGACTGCTGCGACAACTCGGCAAACTGTAGTTTCGACGTGAGCCACGACTCGAGTTGTAAGATAAAAATACATACACCAAGGATTGAGAGCAGACGTTGAACACGGGTCCACTCTTCAGATGATAGCTCAAGGTCCGTAATCTTTTTCCGTTTAGCTGAGTCCTTCTCTTGCAAACTGAGCCGGCCCACAAAATAGTCAACTTCCTAATAATATACATCAGCGGGAACAACATTGACATCCTAAATTGAACTTACATCTCGCAGCTCGAATGCACGTTGAAGCATAGTGTATGTTGAGGACCACCTTACTTTCATGTCAAGAAGCAGCTGTCGTGGATGTTTGATTGGTGTGTGGCCATCTTCGTCTCGACGCTGGACACTCTGAAAAAGTTCCTTTCGTTGAGCTGAGGAGCGCTCCTACAATGAACAATGTCAACATAACATATGTGCATTTGACGGACGGCAAACCTTGACACAGATTGACCGGACTAATCCAATTTCGTCTCGTTCAAGTGCGGAGTGAGTCGCGGGGCTAGCAAATCGTCGTTAGGTTGGGTGGCATCGTAGTGCCTCGACTTGCTGTGTGTGGACAACAGCGCCTGAGTTGCGAGGTTGATAATGTGGGCCAAGCACCTGAATATATGTGAGAATTGGTAGTAATAAACAAGACATAGAAACTCTTACCGAAGGCGCCGTTTTTTATGATCAAATGTCTTCTTGGTGTGTGCCTCGATGTGGACGGCAAAATGTTCCATCATGGTATCGTTGTTGGCTGCGTTGTCGCACGTAATGTAGCCAATCTGAAACTTCATTAGTGCTACACTGTTATGAAGCTAGAATTTTACTTACCTTATGTGCAATCCCAACACGTTTAACTAATTTGAACAGCGCTTGACCAAGACGGACACCATTGTGAGCGTTGTTCAGTCGAGTAAAGCCAAGAAGGGCACTTTGAACAGTCCAAACACCAACTGTTGTTTCTTCGATCCAGTGACCAGTGAGGGCAAAATAGCCATCGACATTCGATGCCTGCCAGGCGTCACATGTCAGATTGATCTTTCCTTTCACAGCATCACTCTGATTGTAGTTTGTATTAGGAACAACGATAAACAAAATCAACAACTGACTTACAAGTAACCGTCGGCGGAGGTTCGTGAGATTATGCTTGAAGAGGTCGATTATGGCTCGGCGTGTCTTTGTTCGACTAGGTAGTTTGACACCGTTAGTAGCTCGTGCTGCTACATCAATCATATATCTGAAGGACTTGTGGTTGAGTGCGTCAATAGGCTGCAGTGAACTGATAAGTGTCCAATTGCGAGAATTTTTTAAAAAAACAACATACCTGGTCAGTTTCAATCAACCATTCGATGGCGGCCTCGCGGAAGATTGCATCTGAGTATGGGATGATCTGTTCCTTTGGTTGCGGCTCACGGAGGTGGGTGTCGAGTCGTGCTTGAGAGTCTGCAGCTGCATCTAGCTTGCGACGTTTCGTGTCCTTCGGTAACATTGACATAAATTTGTTGTCTTTGGCCCATTGGATATATTCATTCTACAAATGAACAAAGTTAGTCCTACACGTTACTCGTAAGCATCAGAAATGCTTACCCGATGCAAAGCATCCATGTGACGGCGCATGGTCGTTATTTCGTTGACAAAAGCAACGGGTTTCTTCATTTTTTTGCTAATATATAGTCAGTTATAGTACAACATGAGTGAAACCAATGGGACCTTACCTGCATAGCATGCAATGGCGATACTTCTTGCCTTTATCGTCAGAATAAGGTGCTGAAAAGAATTTATTGATGTCGCGGCTTCGTTGCTCTTGGCGCAACTTTTCGGGCTCATCGATGTCCATAACTTGCACGTCCTTTAGAAATCCGTCGGCATCGAGTTCGTCATCAACGATAGCGGGAGCCTGTGGTGGATTGACTCCACATGTACAGGTAAGATTGTCAGCATCAAATACAGCAGGTCATGACTTACTAGTTGCGGATGGTGGTGCCTCATTCAGGAGGCTATCTGGCTCAAGTTCAGCCCCTTCACTGTTGCCGTCGGCAGCAGCAGCATCACGAGCGCGTTTTTTGCCTGTGAGGATTCAAAATATCAGTACTAGAAAGACAAAAGAACAACATACCTTTTGTGAGTCGTCTGGTTTTGCTGTGAAGTGATTCAATGTCACTATCATCCTCATCAAAGATGTGCGAACCTGAGGGCGCAGCATTGGCGGCGACGTGAGCCTTTCTGTGAGAATGGAGTTCAAGGTCAGCAGTATTATCCGCACTGATTACCTTGGCGGACGGCACAGCAACCCGTTTAGGACGTCGTGGAGGCACGTTCTCGTCATCTGAATCGACACGCAGAGCCATTTGGAGATTAGACGACTCGAAGTATTGATTTTTTAGGCTATGGTGCGCCAGTACAGAGGCACAGATAAACTATTTAGTTATTCGGTGTTTGCTGTGCGAAGATCAAAACCTACCTTGAAAGCCACGGCTTGGCGGCCCGGCTCTGGCCTTCACATACCTCAGGCCAAGCCTTGAGCCCTACTAGGCCGCTCTCAAGGCCCGGCTGGGCTCGGCCTAAGTAGGCCCGGTCAGGCTCGGCCTACGGCTTGAGGCCGGGCCTTGCACATCACTAGTTATGCGAGTCTCCTGGTCCAGACCGTGCCTCCGTCTGACTTCCGCGACACGGAATGAAATGCAAGGCAGATGAAGTCTGCAGTTGGCAAAGCGAGGAGCTCTAAGCTGTTCAAGCTCGTCATAAAATTTCAGTGCTAGATCTGCAGACACGGTCTGTCGCAGCGAAGAGACTTGTATGTGAATATGATCTTCAGACAAAGGTGGAAGGGTGCGTGGAGGAGTGGTGTAAGAGGTGATATGGGCTGGAAGACAGCTATTGAACTCGGAAGGTTCTCCGATCCAGTCGAGGACAGAGATGTCGCCTGACCGAGCCACGATCTCCTGCAAGAGTCGCCCGAGCGCGTTCTGCTTCTTCTCGCCATCTTTGGATGACGCTTTGACGCCATTGTGAGGAACTTATTAGATGAATTGTATTTCTATTCTAATGCAAAGTTACAAGGGCAGAGGTACGATGAGCTAAGAGAATGGGTGAGAGCGCGAAGCGCTATCCGGCCCCGAATGAGGATCTGCCCAAGAACAAGGTGAGCTGCGAATCCCCCAAGAAATTAGGAGTCCCCGACGACGCATCGCAGCGAGGCCGAAGATCCCCAACGTGGTAGGAGGAGGAAAGGACTCACGGTCTGAATCAGCGTCTAGTGTGGCCTTGGCATAGAGAAACGCAAGAAGTCTTCGTGCAGGGCTGGTACAGCTTGCATGTATGGTGCCATGATCTGGGCATGCTTGCGGAGGTATAGTTGGAAAGCGTCACTGGCCCAACGGCCTTTTGTCTTGACAACCTCGAAAGGAACGTTTCGCAACAAGTATTCTAATGTTGAACCAATACGAATTCTGTGACCTTGGAGCGGGTCTGATCCTGCGGCTCTAGCTGCTTGTGCTAACCGTCCTATGAATTTCTGTTTTGTTAATAGCCTGTGGCCGTTTTTGAAATGGTATGCAAATAGCGCGCTTCCCGGGGCAGGTTCGTTGACTCTGAGGTGATTGAGTAGGGCTTCTTCGGGGTCTGAAGGTCCTGCTTGGCGCACAAATGAAACGTCTTCTCCGTCTCTGGAGGTCTTTGTCTTTGGGATGCGGAAGACTCTCATGACGAGGTTGTTGCGGTCACGTTCGATCCGCATGTCTGAAGGTTTGACGTGGGAGTTGGGCTCGAACGATGACAGGGAGGGAACCGTGAATTCCCCGACGCGTGCAGTGCAGTAAAACACTGTCGTGAGGTAGCTGAATACTGCAGCATCGAGAGGTGACTCCAGATTAAGATGGCTGCGAAGTGAGCAAATGAATTCGACGGTGTAGGGACGGTGTTTCTTGCGCTTCGAAGATTGTGGTGCGAGGTTCTCTGCAGCTTTTAGTAGTGTGTCGATTTAAACATCGTCTAGCGACCACTTAACGCCGTGGAGAATGTGCCATGGACGCACGCCGAATACGTAGTTTGCGATGGTCTTTCCGGAGTACGACCCGGCTGCGAAGGCGATGAATGCAGAAATGAGAGTGGAGGATGCTGGCGCGCGGTCTGATTCTGGGATTGTGCGCGAGTCACAATAGACATGGAACACGAGGAGTCCTGAGCCATAGGATTTGTGGGTGCTGTCGGCCCATGCGTGACACATGACATCTTGGATGCATGTCATGTCTCCTGCGGTGAGGGCGTTTGGTTTCATCAGGAAAAACCTCCTGGCCAAAATTTCGATAATCTTTGATAAAGTCCAAGAATTATGTCTAATTAGCAGCTTTAGGAGAATTAGGAGAATTATGTAGTTTAGAAGGACTTTCTTACCCCCTCGTAAATTTTGCATAATTATCAAGAATTAGTTGATACTAGACACAATTGTGGTGAATTGCAGAAGCCGTTATTACAAATGTTGGTTCACAGATCACACATCCCAGGCAATGTTACAAGAACAAAAGACTAATAAACATCTGATATTTGATTACATAGAATATACACACAAAAGTAATTACTGTATAGCTACAATTGACCACAAATACGTCGACTGTGTGGACAGATGAGTCCATGCTGCTGCGCCACGAAGACGAAGAAGTACCTGCACTTGTCGCACCAGAACCCGTTCTGAAACTGTCTCCTCCATAACGGAAGGAGTGCCAGGTGTGTTAGATGCGCTTGGGGGCTCGGTGAGGGAGGAGCGCTGCGCACGCAGGCTATACTGTCATAATGATGCATCAAAACAGGCTAACTAGCATATTTTGATGATGCATCAACTATGATAGCGAGCAGTGGTGCATCAACCTCATCCCTATTGGGAATGTGATGCATAGTGATGCATCAGTGATGCATCATCCTCCCGCACCAAATTGGGCTGCACCCAGCATCCGTTCGCTGGCATTATACCCTGGTACCTTGCTTCCCTTGTCTGTACCTTGCTTCCCTTGTCTGTACCTTGCTTACCTATGCTGTACCTTGCTTACTTACACTAGATCCAGGCATCCGTCTGGCCATCCGGCTATCTAACTCGTTTTTGGGAGGCCTCTTACCTTTCCACAGTCTTCACTGAAGGCTTGCGCTCAAGTCAAATACGTGCATGACATCATTTTTCAAAATTTTACCACTAAGTCCAGCTCCCTTTGTAAAATATGTATGCAAGGATGAATTTATCCCGCAGAACTGAAACACCGCTGCGCCTTGAATGTATGAACTTCGAACTGAGCGTCTTCCTGTACGTCTGCTTGCACCGGGCATGCGGAACAATATGATAGCGGACATTTACATTTCGTTCGTACAACAAGAAACATTCAATTTAATCACTATTACTGACATGGATCTCGCAACAAGATATGTAGATAAGACACTATTTACTGATTATGTATGCCGAGCACGCCTAGGATGTAGTCATATCAGTGCGATGCAACTTGAAGCACATAAAGGACCGACTTACTTTGTTGGCCCGCCAATATCGTTGTCACATTCTCTTGCATTGAAGGGTTTGCGCACTCGGCGATGCCCATCTGGGAGTGGTTGGATCTCATCTGCCGAGGAAGTGGGCACGGTCAGTTGTGAATGTTGTGGTGTGCGCCTTCCACAATGACGCTGAGCTCCAGCTTGGACTGCTGAAGTTGGTGCCGCGCCAGCACCATCAGATTCATTGGGTGTTCCCATATTTTCAACATCGGCACGAGGAGCCGGAGGGATAACGACTTGAGAATATTGGGCAGATGATGCATCATCAGCGGGAGGGGCTGGAGGGATAACAACTTGCGAATATTGGGCAGATGATGCATCATTAGCGGGAGGAGCCGGAGGAGCTGGAGGGATAAAGACTTCGGGATATTGAGTAGATGATGCATCATGGGCGTGAGGAGCCGGAGCTGGAGGGATAAAGACTTCGGGATATTGAGTAGATGATGCATCATGGGCGTGAGGAGCCGCATCATCAGCGCGAGGAGCTGGAGGGATGAAGACTTGGGGATGTTGGATGGATGATGTATCATCAGCGCGAGGAGCCGGAGGGATAAAAACTTCAGGATATTGTGTAGATGATGCATCATCAGTGCGAGGAGCTGGAGGGATAAAGACTTCAGGATATGGATTGAATTGAAGGGGGGGGGCTTCGGGGAGAGCATCCAAAATGCTGATGTTAAAATTCGGGTCATTGATGAGAGCAGTAAACACTTCGTGGTCAAACACGGGTAGGTTTGGAGGGTTGTTGAACGAAGCCAAGTGGGAATCACTCAGGAGCTGAGAACCAGATGATGCATCACCTAAGACCCGCGCACATGGAAGTGATGCATCAGTTGATGCTATGGCGGCGCCAAAATCGTCTTCGATGGATGACTCAGACTGAGGAGTCATCCGGTACATGCCCGCAGTGTTGATTCGATGGGCGCTGTTTGGTAGGAGATCATCCAAGTCCTCTTCTTCCACATGACAACCACCATGCTCACTGCCACTCGTTGTCGCCCACTCCTCATCTGAACCGTCATGCGAGTCTGATGATGAATCTTCTGCTTCCTCAGCATCTGAGTCTTGGGGCAGTGTCGACTCAAATGCTAGTGAAAAGGTGAGTGCATGCTTTTGAACTGACACTTATATTGACGTACCGAGAGCGTCTTTGACGAAGGCTAGGAATGCACCCTGCACCGCATCAAAATTGGCGTAAGTCTGATCAAACTGTGCCCCACTCTCAAGTTCGCCAATATGATAGCTTCATAATATTAGGTAAGCGCACTTCCTCATCAACTTGAACACGCATCACTCACTTGAACACAGACACCTCTCCAGTGCTAGGATCCTTCCCTCCCATAAGGATCGTGAACTTCCACCCACCCGTGGCATGTGCAAGGTACTTCAGGATCCAATCAAGCATAGGACCAAGCTCACGGATAGCCCTGCAGTTTTTAAATGCGCTTGAGATACAACCATGTGATCAACGACAGAAGTACGTACTTAATCTTGGTTGCATCGTCATTTCTTGGCATCTTCCCCGACTTCTGGCGTAGACGTGCTTTTGCATACTTTGCCTTTGCCTTTTGGTATCTCCTTTCAACCTTATTCTTGACGTCCTCGCATTCTTCAGAGTACAAACGGCGCGTGACCTCGCGGCGCTTATTTAGCTTTGGCCCGTGGTCAGTAACATTCTGTGCTCTGATTTCGGCATCTGCAGTGTCCTTGACTTTTTCTCCATAGTATTTGTAGGAGTAAATGTCCATTTTTTGCGGTGCGCGGGTCCCCTTAAGTTCCACACCACCAGCTAACACAGTGTCGAACTTCAAAGCTCCTTTAATACCACTCGTGCGGCCCAGGCGAGCAGGGTTTTTCCGCCAACGGTACCATGTAGCTAGTTGCTAATCAAAATGAGTTGGTACGTGTGTTTCGCATGCTCACAGATGGTAGTGCTTACCTCTTCACGACTTTCCACAGCGCTTGCCAAATCTTTCACTTGATCTGGCGTAAGGACGTGGTCAGCAGGCAAGTCACCAAAGCAGGCCCTTCGCTCTGGCCATTTCTCAAAAAACAATTTGTTGACTTTTTTCCAGAACTCCTCGTATTTCTTCTCTGCGGCGCGCATGCGAAATTCTCCCAACATGGAGGTGAGAAATTCCTCTTGCTCCTTGCTTGTCCATTTCCGAGGCATCTATTACTGAGATCAGTAGGAGCAGAGGGACAGCATCCTGGCACATACAGCGGTCAGACCTGAGGGATGGGGTGATAATTTCAGTACGTAGTGAGTTAGGGAGGGATATTTTCCTTCGTCTTCGTCTTCGTCCTTTGAATATCATAGAGCCCATTTCGATGGACCGAATCGATGGACCGAATCGCTGGACCGAATCGCTAGACCGAATCACCGCCTTCACTACCAGTCACTCTTTTTTGATGTTTTGAATCTAATTTAATTCAGAGAATCCTCATTTCTCAGATGCGACATCTACATTACCATCTCCGGGAGACTCGCAAAACGATGCTATGTAGTACAATGATATTTTCAACCTTGATATCTACAATCTCTCTGTACATAGTGTTCGTCGTGAAATATATAAAACTCGTGATGACCACCAGTGATCACTGGGTGAAACATAATGACCACCAGTGATCACTGGGTGAAAAAATGTATAGTCCGTACCTTCACATGTAATGTTCTGAAAAAGATCAGCCCGACCCATAGCAACAAATACGGTTAAGCCACAAGGCGGACCTGAGGCCTAAGGGACATAGATGCTGTAGGAAGCGCCACCGAAGCAGACTCGGAAGCACTTGATCATCGAAGCAGGGCCTGGACCGGAAGGTAACAGTGCTTCAACCTAGTGAGTGTCGGTGCATACCAGTAGTTAGTTCGTATGATACTTACCTGTAAATATTCTGTGAGCGCCAGTGTTTGAACAATCATTCACTTACGGATCTGAGTCGGCTTGTGAGAGCGCTTGCTTATGTGAGGAATTAAAGTCAGTGATCGGTACATTGAATTGCAGTCAATACGGTCCTACCATGCTACTAGTATGCAGTGATATCTCCTCCAGACGTATCATCGCCCAAGGAATCGGTTGAGGTATGATGTGTTCTAGTAGCTCGGTCATGTCTGCTGCATGTTCAGCATCAAATTGTGAGTGAGCATAGTTCATTCTGAACCGGACAAACTTAACTTCAAACTCATTGCGGTCCTACCATGATTAGATCAGGATTCAGTAGTACTACTTTACAGGTAAAGCTATTAAGGTCTGACCTACATGTCCAACCTACTCCGGTGATGATTAACGACTACTCGTATCACAATAGTAAGTCACTGAATAACGACTCGGCAAGGTCAGTTCACTCCACTTGAAACTTCAATATTGAATTGCGGATTAAGGTCCATCCGATAACACTCCACTTGCGCTGCACTGGCAGTGATGATTTAGCAGGTGTGTGCACATTGTCTCACAATGAGTAGATGTGCTGATTATCATCCATGCCATGCACCGCACTTACAGTTCGTTTTATCTACAGCGTGTACTCAGCACATGCATGGGCCATCGACATTTGAACGGAGGCTCGTAATCTATACGGTCCGACGAACCAATGGAGGCTCTTAACTCAATACAGTCCGATGACGAATCGAAGCATCCGAAGCTCATCCTCTTTTTTCTCTCCTCCACACCAAACGACACCGTTGCTCGCTATGGCCCCCCCAACTAAATATAAAACCGACGCGGCCAAGCTTCAGGCTATGAGAGCCAAGCGTTCCCGGTACTACGCTAAGTAAGTATCGTCTATTTCGTTCAGCCTACGATGCCCTGATTACAGATGCAGGTGCCGTGAGGAGATCCTTGCAAAAAGAAGAGAGAAATATCACCTCAACAAAAACCGTCGAAAGGACGATGACGGCAGCGACAACAAGGGTGCGGGTGACAACTTGGATAAGGGCAACAACGGCAGTGACGAGTGTGCGAGCGATGCCGATGAATCAATGTACGTGCTGAATATTATTATTGTCGCTGTGTTTTTAATATAAATATCAGAGGGACATTAGCTGAATGTATTGCCGTGGTGAAGTATGCTAAAGATGACTTCATGGCGCACATCAAATCTCCGCAAAAATTCACCTTGGGCGTCTTTGCTGAATACACGAAGTCTATCCCAGATGCTCCCGGAACTCACGGGGATAGAGAGATTCTCAAGCGCGCGATGTCGAGCATCGAAGACTTCCTTGACAGGGCCAGTCGAGGACAAGACGGTATCCTCCAATTGTGCGGGGTTTGTGACGAGTGGCGTGCCGCAGAACAAGTGTGCACGAGCATGAGGGACACCATTGCTATGGTGGAAGATATTTATTGTCATGCGCTCAGCGATGGAGACGCCAAGTTAGCCGTAGTTCATTTACTCAAGGGATTCTTGTACCAGAACTACAACGAATTTTGAATAGGCTTGCGAGGCTTGCGCACTAATGTCACTTTGAATTGCATATTTCTTATTGAGATTCACGCTGCACTACTATGTAAAAGCTTCAGGTATACATTCGTTACGTCAACACCTCCGTTTCGCCGCGGCCAATGGCCTCTTCCATCAGCTGAATTCCTTCGGCAACTGAGTGGACCTTCGAAAAAGACGCCCTGCTCACGCCAATGACATGGGACGAGGTCTGCTGCCTGTTGGCGGATCACAAATCAGCTGCCGTTAATCTAAATAACGCGAATCACTTACCAAGTAGAGAATACGCCAATACGGCGGCCACGGGTCACCCAGTAGAAGGGACCCGTAGCGTCAGCCGCTGGCACATTGTAGTTCACAACAGGAGTCAACGCTGGGATGAGTGGAGCTGATGTCGAAGTGGTCGAAGGAGTCAACGCTGGGATGAGTGGAGTTGATGCCGAAGTGGTCGAAACAGCACTGATAGCAGAAACGGCGGCGACCAGCGCGTTCTGGACCGCATCATGGATCTTGGACGTCACGTCAGATGCCTCCTGCCCAGTGATATTCATCTGGGCCAAGAGCGCAATGAGATTATCTGTGGAACATTAGTAAGAAGCAGAGCGTGCTTAGGAATATCGTTGCTTACCAGTGCCATTGTCACCAGTATCGTCAGCGATGGGCACCGCAGGGAGGTCATCTATCCTGCTAGTAAGATCACCAGTACCGTCAGTGATGGGTGCCGCAGAGTGGTCATCTATCCTGCTAGTAAGTACCAGAGCGCGCTCGGAGATATCGCTGCTTACCAGTGCCATTACCATCATTACCATCAGCGATGAGCGCCGCAGGCACGGCAGCTATTATCGTGCTGGGGGAGATCATCATTGGGTGTAGTAAGTATGGGAGGAGAATTGATGTTGAAAAGGGAACTGACCTCGGGCTTTTTGTACAGGGAAAGCCATCCATATTGGGTGATGCAGTAGCCTTGGCCGCTGCAGTCGTAGTTCTTGCATTGCACTGGCAGTGAGTAAGTGAGTAGTTCGATGAGTTGGACTTCAATGAGTTGGACTTCGATGAGTTGCAAGCTTCTGTCACGCTAACATGTCACATTGTGTCACACCTTCTCATGCACAAGCCCATTGCCTGAGCCCATTGCCCGAGCGATGTTACCTGCTAGAAATTCTTCAAATGCAGGCTCCACCCGAATTGATGGTGTCACCGAGCGTGTCGCCCCAACCAGTCATCAAACTATCCAATGTGCCCCTTTAAATATCACCTTTCGACAAGTCAACAATCGAAAACGACCCAAGCTCAATCACTATGCACCACCTACCTCACAGTTGCGAGAGACGGTCCATACCGCCTTCAGGTTTTCAGGACGTCGAGATGGGAATATGCAGGTGTCTGCTGCCCATCTGATTTGTCGCCCGTCACCTTCGTCCACACAGCAGTCTTCCCAATTTGCAGGGCCTGAGGACGGAAGCACCGAGTTTGATTTTGCGATGATTGATGAACCTTCCATGGATGCTGGCGAAGACGGAACAATCACTCAAAGTCAGAAACACAAGCGCCCAGCTGGCGTGAGTTATCTTTATTTCCGTCGCATCATTCCTTACTCACTGTCTTTGTCAGGTCAATCCTCTGCATGTTTGGACAAAGGAACGTGATACATATCTCTCGGAGATCATTCGGTTGGATGGGCGCGGTGAAAATGCAAGGGATTCATGTGCAGGCTGTTGCGCCAATCCTGCAGAATTCCGATGTCAGGATTGCAACGACATGCAACTGTACTGTGGTACATGCTTACTGGCAAATCATGCCCGGTCTCCCACCCATCGCATACAGGTATGTGATCTCTTACGAGAAAGATGAAATATATTGATTAATTTGCAGCAATGGAATGGTGTATTCTTCGAGAGCTCTTCCTTGAAGACGCTAGGCCTTCGAGTACAACTCGGGCATCCCATCGGTCAACCATGCATCCTCCCGCAGCCGGCGTTTAACAACGACTTTGTGCTTATAGACACGAACGGACTACACGAACTAGGACTGGACTTCTGCGGTTGTGAGACATCCGAGACACATGTTAAACAACTCCTCCGTCACGGATGGTTCCCTTCCACGCCAACTGACCCTAGGACAGCGGCCACGTTTCGACTTCTGCATTACTACCAAATCTTATCCTTCGAGTCGAAGGCATCAGCCTACGAATTCTACCATTCTCTTGTTCGACTCACGGATAATACAGGGATGATGAAACGCATGCCGGTACGCTTATATCTACCTTTGTTCCTTCAGTCTCTTACTGTCTACCTTAGGATCGCTATGACGGATTCATGCGGATGGTGCGTATGTGGCGCCATCTCACAATGCTGAAACATTTCGGACGTGGGCACGATCCCAGTGGTGTAAATGGTACATCGCAGGGTGAATGCATGGTGCTATGTCCAGCATGTCCGCAGCCAGGGAAGAATTTACCTGAGGGTTGGCAAACTGCTTCGAAAGCAAAACGGTGTGTTGCACCACAGATATTGATCCACTATGTAAGGCTGATGTTTTTAGGTGGTTGTATGCAGTATTTTTAGCGATCGACGCAAATTTTCGATTGAAAAGACGGAACGTATCGAGCGATCACGCAGACCCAAGTCTTTCGAGAGGCTGGTCATACTTCGTCGAGGAGAAAGAGTACAAGGCCTTCCTGGCCGAACATCTCACTGAGACGCAGGAGGTATGTGACTGATTGGTTAATCAATTGACGTGTACTCACACTATCTTACAGAAAAGTACTTGTTCGAGCCATAACGCTGTCAACACGGCAGATACAAAGCAGTCGCAAGGGCTTGCTGCTACTGGCGTCAGCACAGTAGATTGTGCCCGTCATAATTTTAAACGGCCAAATGGTGTCGGCGATTTGCAGAAGGGGGAGAAGTAAGTCACGGTCTCGTTGCGTTTGTATTTACTATGTCTTATCATGCGCCTGACAGGTACATCAATATGGATTATTTATTCTTCTCGACTTTGCGTGGTACGCAGCTCGAAATGCTCAAGGTGTCGTACGATATTGCGTGCCAATGGCACAAAAAGCTCTGGGCCCGCATGAAGTCCTTTCCTCAATCCCATCGCTTGGACCATCTCACCAAGTATATACGCTTCTTCATACCAAAATTCCACCTCCCCGCACATGTCTCAAAATGTCAGACAATCTTCTCGTTTAACTTCACGCGTTTCGTTGGCCGGACGGATGGTGAAGCCCCGGAGAGGGGCTGGTCGAATATCAACCCTGTGGCATCAAGTACGAAAGCGATGGGTCCTGGTTGTCGTCGTGACACGCTGGACGACCACTTTGGAGACTGGAACTGGAAAAAGACCGTCGGGTTGGGCGCGTCTCTCCTGTACAAGATGAAGGATGCTCTAGCTGAGAAGGCTGCGCATGCACTCGCATTCGAGGAATTTGACGCTGTCATCACTCCCGAGCACCGCTCTGCGTGGTTAGAAGAAATGCAAGCTTGGGAAGATAATCCGAATGACACATCGATCTCTAATCCGCTCGAGGCCAAAGCCATGGGCGAGTATTTTCTGCTATTAAAGTGACCTTGGACTAATGATTTTGTCTAGCTATAATGCAAGCAGGAGTGAGGCTAAAGCTCGCGGAGCTGGAGGCCGAGGACCTTCAGCGAGGTATAGACTCCTCGTTGCACCCACAAATCTCGCCTAGTGTGCTTATTGCTTCAGGCATAGACCTGGAGCAGGAACAGTGAGCATTTGCCCTTTGACGGCCACAAACAAGGCTGACATACTTTCAAAGGCATCGTCTGGCCAATATCGCCGAGTCGATGGGTCAACATGCTACCGACACGCAGAAAGGCAGTCTCACGCAGATGCGGAACTCGCTTCGTCGTAGGATCGATATGTGGCGACGCACACAGGTCCTTTACCTCCCGGCCGTTCAAGGCCTTATTGATCAGGCAGCCGCACGTGAAGGCCACGAGAACGCCGAATGTATACACCTCTGGTTACCTTCAGAACTGAAAACCAAGCCGTGCGATCCACGCCTACGAGAGGACGAATGGGAATTGCGCTACGTGCAGGCTCACGATGCGCTAGAAGAATTGCGGCAGTGTCTACGCATTCACTGCTCCTTACTGACATTCAAAAGGGAATGGGTGCGCGGGCAAGGCGCAAACACGCGTGCTCAGAATGCCCTTGCCCGCATCCACCGAAGGCGTACGGCCTGCGTGAAACGTTATCGGTCAGCATGGATGGCGCTCAAGAGCCTAGCTACAATCATGAAGAAGACCGGTTGGCAGGGCAGGTTGCAGGAATTGGCCGACACTCACGTCAAGCCCCTCGTGGACCCATATGCTACTGGCGAAGGGAGACGTCATGTATCCTGGATCTGGATGATGGACGGCGTTGACCATGGCAATGAAGGTGGCGACGATGGTAAGCACTCGTCGTGGTCTATATTTTGCGAACTAACATACTATAAGGTGTACGAATCGAGTGGTGCAAAACCCGTGCGAGGGCACTGCGGTGGTCGGAAGAGGTCGAATTACTCACGGAAGAGATGCGCAGGGTGCTGGAATTTTTTACCTGGCAGCAGGCGCGGTGGGAAGAACAGGGAAAGGCATGCGTTGGGGAGTGTGCCGCTGACATTGAAGGTTTGTGAGCTTATGCTGCCCGACAGGCTAACATCCGTCGCAGGCTTGCAGACCATTTTCGGGTGCTGTGGGCACCCTTTCTTTCGCTGGAAGGTCCCATTGACCCGCCACCTCAGTTGGCCGAACATTCGTTACCGGACCTCATGATTCCCGACATTCTCTAACCTACTTCTGCGCTGTACCTGATCGATGTACCTGATATTCAATCCATCACCGGCTGTTATTTGACATTTGAAGTGAATTAAGTTGCCGAAGACTCGACTGGAAAATTGACCGAAATACAAATGACCGAGCTGCAAAGTAATTGACCGAGCTATATATACTGTAGGACTGCTAACTAGCATGTTGTAATGCATCACAAGAAGGCTAAGTAGCATAGTTGATGCATCACCTCTGACTTGTAGTTAGCAGACTTGATGCATTATAGCTACAGGGACTGGTGGCGCACGAGCGTCGTGTCGAGAGCGCTTCCGAATAATATCGGATTTCATACTAATGGGACGAGCAGAGCCGTGAAGCTTATAGTAGAGGCCACATCTGTATGTATATAAGAGATTGGTACGAATATAGAAGGAACAACAAATGAGAACTTACACGTTGCAAACGGTCTTGCCTTCATCGTCCTTCCTCCACAAAGGAGTTGCAACCAGGACTCACCACCTCCACGACTCGGACCGGTGTCGCAGAAGAAGAAGAATGCGGTGGCGCTGCAGCCGAGGACAGCATGGACAATGCAGAAGCCAAAGATGACGCACCACCCGTGTCATCCTTCTCCATGACTAGCACGCATGGAGTTTGGACGCGGACGCTTATGCTACCAAAGAGAAGAGAAACGAGACGTCCGCTCAGCAAAGTCCATACGACGTATATAGATGAAATAATACTCACCAATTTACAATAGAGACCGCAAGCGTGATGAGTTACGACACGAGTGACTACCCACTATAAGGGTACGGGTATGGGCATGGGTGTCCAGGAATCAGCGTGGCGGTTGCTCGAATGACGATCGACGCACTCACCCGCTGCGAATGGCAAACAATGACTTGGATCAGCGTGGCTCTTGCTCGAACAAGGACCGACACACTCACAATCCAACGACGAGCACGGAAGGACGACTATGAACTACCTAGTTTGTAGTTACAAATGTTAAATAGAACTTTTTAAAAAACCTAAGACATACCTATCAGCTTGATGGTTGAGGCTGACAACGTTGAACGTTGAGGAATGAGGGATCGACGTCGGAAGTTCAAAAAGTTTTCAAACCAAAGTCATGCGAGCCAAACAAATGGTTCGATATCAACCAAACAGTCACGTGAGCGAAACAAATATGTGCAAATGATGAACTTCAACAAAATTTTACTCAGTCGTTCGCCGCTTGTCCCAGGTGCGCATGTTCTTTTTTCTCGTTTATAACTATCTTTAACCTTGCAGCGTGCTACTATGACCACCACTCGTGCGGCGAGTCGCGCCCTACACTACATCCTACCCTCCATCTCATGCTTCCTGTCTCGGCCCTCCTTCCACTCTTCTGGCGCTCTCCAGTGTCCTCCGCACACGTTCGAGCCACGTCAGCATTCGCTGACGTGCGCCAGGCGTGTGTGCTAAACACTGGTGGCTGCTGGGATCGGGTGGGGCGTCCCACAGTTCTGGATGGTTGTAGTGATTTTTGGTTGAATTTGTATTTAGATAGATACACTTTTTGTATATTCAAGTAATTCTTGACATTTTGTGATATTTGCATCCCACATTATTGTCTTCTAGCAATTTTATTCCTAATTCTTGTGATTAGATAGAATTATCCAAATTAGAACTTTTAGCAAAAATTATAACATTTTTTCCCTGGGAGGGTTTTCCTGATGTTGGGGCGGGCAATGAGTGGGAGCCACAAACGAAGTCGCTGTTTGGCAGGGCAGTGTGGGCGTAGCACAGAGGGAAGCGGATTCATGTCAGAAGGGTAGGCTGAGTTATTGTTAGCGTGTGTCACAGTGTTTTCCAGCTGAAATGGCAGCGGGAGACCTACTATATTTTCGACACTTTGTGTAGCTCTTCTCCCTGCCGTTCGAGGATTCGGTTCTCGAGGGCGCGGTTGGCGTCATCGAGCTTGTGACGGGTTTTGGGAGGCCCGTGAAGCGGGATTGACTTGGAGGTCCCTCTGAGTTCGTTTGCGTGTAGAGGGGCGTCGAAGTCGACGACGAAGTCCCGGATGGAGGGAGGGATAGGAATGGGGGGCAGAAGAAGGGAGCAGAGTGGGTATCTGCCTCGTGACGCATCGTCTGTGGGGTTAAAAGCGCTAGGGACATAGCGTGTGAGGATGATGCAGGCAGCGGATTCAGCGGCATTGTGAATGCGTTTAAAGACAACGTTGGTGGGGCGGTTGCGGCTGCGTCCTTTCCACCAGCCTTCCACAACTCCTCTGTTGTCTCTGTAAACCTTGAAGCAAGGGAGAGGGCGGGGTTGGGAGTTCTGTATGATGCTGAGGACGAGGAACTCAAAGCCGATGGCTTCGGCCCAACCAATGTCGCGGCTGTCTGCTTTCCATCCTGGGACAAGGCGCCACGCGCGCCACCACCCGTTGACCCAAATTGTGATTCCCACGCCTGAGCTAGCATCAGAGAAGGTGTTTGGGTCGGTGATGAGGCAGGGACCTGGGATGGCTCTGCTGACGGATTGCTGGCGAAGGTGTGCGGACCACCACCTGAGGTCTGCCGCGCAGTTCTTTGGTGGGGTATGAGGCACGAGCGGACGATCACCGAAGGTGGAGAGCATGGCTTCCAACTCGGTGATGTAGGCTCGTCCCGCCGGGACGATGCGAGACACATGGAGCAGTTTTCCGTGAAGCTTTTGGACTTCGAGGAGGGAGTGACGACTTTGGGATTCCCATGCAGCAATGGCGGCCAAGTATTTCTCTTTCTTGCTTTCTGGGATCTCGAGCGTACGAGAGTCAAGGTTCCATGTGAAACCGGTGAAAGGAGGATTGGAGCAGAATTGGATGTCCTTGGAAAGCTGCCATGGTGTCCCTGTTTGATGGGAAAGAGCGTCGATGTCTGCCATGCAGTACGAGAATTTCGCGTCTTCAAGGGAGCGTGGGGACTTCTGTGAGAGGTCGAGCAAGGGAAATGAGCAATCTTCGTCGTATTCCTCTGGTTGGTCATCAGGCATGGTAGCGCCGTGGTACCATTTCCGGCCACCATCCTTTCGAAGGCCACCCTGGTCTTGGATGTTGCGGGCCCATAGTTTCTGTTCCATGTTGTACTTCTCCAAATGCTCCCGCAGGATGCGAATGAAGAAGTGGTTGTCGACCCATTTTGATAATGGGCCGATTCCCTCGCTGCAGAAAATGTCAGTGCCAGCGTCAGCGAGCCCACCGTAGGAGCCCGCTGCTGAAGAGCAGCCAAAACAGAAACTAGTGTCGACGGCGAAGAGGTCTTCACCTGTGCAAACGACAAGGCCTGGGTATTGCGAAGGGTGGAGGGGGATGGTGCGATATGCTTCTGCCACGTCTCGTGTGGCGCCTTGTGATCCAGGAGGAAGACGCCAGATGAGGAGGCATATGGTGGCAAAGGTGCCATAGGTGCAGGGGTAGAGGTCTGAATTGATGGAGGAATTGATGGAGGAGATGGGACAAGTGAGCGACGAGAGGCTGTGGGACAAGTTCTGAATGAGTTGGAATTTTCCGGGTTTTCCAGGCTTTGGGATGATGGATAGCGGAGCTGTCTGGAATGGTCCGATAAGGCTTTCCATTTCGGATTTGGATAAGGGTCCCAGGTACCTTCCTGAGCCGAACTCTTGGCTGAGGATGGCGGCAAAGGCGCCGTCGTGTTCTTCGACGGAGGGTGTCATATCCCGCATTCTGGATCCGGACCTATCACACTCATCATTTCCGGATTTCCGGATCCGGCCGACTTCTATGTATCGTCCGGATCCGACCCGCATCTAACCTCCGTGCCTTATCCCTTTGGTATTTCCCTTATCAGTTAGTACACTTTATTTTCCATCCCTTATTCATTTCCGTCTTCATTTTACTAAGTTCCGATAGACTAGTAATAGTCGTCCCATATGTTTTATCCATAGCTTGACATAGCCTCGCACTGCACTTACTGTTCTCCGTTATGTCCTCAGTAGTATATAAACCCTGTACAGTCTCTGTAGTTTCCTCAGTTCGAATATCATCTTAGACTCTGCTCATTACCTCCTCCGTCCGACTTGAGTTTCTCTCTCGTCGACCTCCGCTCATCTTAGGATTGACTCCTATAGACTTATCACCTCCGCCTCTACCTTTGGTAGTCCTCCGCTGTTTCCTTTCTAGTTCGGACTTTGTCCGGATTAGTCTTATCTCTTGTTCCTGAATGTCCGCCGGAATTCCCGTGCATCGGACATCGGACTCCAGACATCACCCGACGCCCTCCGGACATCGTCCGGTAACCTTTGGACATCGTTCGACAGCCTTCGGAAGTTAGGGGCACATACTCGGGTAAGGGGCGCAGTGCACGAGCTGAAGCCAAGCCCTTCGGATCTGACCCTTGAGCACGTTCTTAACAGAGGGGCTATTAGGCGGGGTGTAAGTATGTTTAATGTGAGGGATGCTTCCCATGAAACCGAACTGTAGAGATTGTGGTATGTGCAGGTATATACGTATGAGTCTGGATTTATTAAGTAGATGGTACCAAGTTTCCGCATGATAGGGAGTGAGTGCATTATGTTTCCTGGCCTTGAGGACACTTTTGAGCTCCATGGTCCGTGGTGCCGCAGCCCGAGCATTCGTGTGTGTGGTCCTTGCTGGTGCTTGTACATCCATTGGGGTGTTGCCAGTCGTAACACAGCTGTAAACCTTGTGTGTTGACAAGGCGGCCTTCGTTGTTTCTCTGGCATGAGGCCGGGGTCTTGCTGTCCCACAGGAATTCGCTCTTGCACTTGTGGACGTTGTGTGCGAATCGGCCGAGGCATACAGCGCAGGCATGGAGGCCAGGTGATGCTGCGCTGCTCTGAAAAGGCTGCTTCTCGTTGGCTGCGCGTCTGGGTTCTTGACGTGTTTGATTCCGATTGGGTGTCGTGGTCCGAGGAGCTGGATGCCCTGACGAGTTTCGTGCAGGGGATCGTGAGCGGGAGCGAGTGGAGCGCGTGGGTGTGCGAGCTTGGTTGCGTTGGGATGGGGTCTGGTGTTCACGGCTGCTGCTCTGCATCGCACTGGCCAGTTGGAGCTGTGGACCAGGAAGCAGGTGGAAGCAGGTAGCGGGGTGGCAGCAAGCAGTTTTGGAAGCAGGAGCATGAGGGTGGTAGCATGGGAGCAGGAAGCATTGTATAGAGGTAGCAGGGAGCATTTGGTAGAGAAATTGGGCAAACATTAGCGACATGGTATTGTGGGTCGAGAAGGAGCACGAACCTCGGCAAGACTTTCGAAACGGACTTTGTTCCACACTTCTTCGGCCAGGTTTTTCAGGAGGGTTGAATTGAAAATGCTGATGTCGAATGCGTTGTTGAGAGTGAGGGTGTCATGCCAATCTCTGCATACGTGCGCGGCGTATAGCAGAAGCGATCGTTCACCAAGAGGCTCAGCTCGCTGAGGGTGGGAGACGATGTTCATGAAAAACATTGTGATAGCGCGTTGGTGCTTCTCAGGCCATCCCAGCCTGTTGATCTGGAGGAGGAAGCAGTTTTTAGCCATATCAAATTGCCACCATTCGAGGCTATGGTCTTGGATCACTTTGCGGGAAGGCTTGAAGGATGTGACCAGTTTCAAGGCGACGAAATCGTCAACCTTTGTGAAGCCGTAAGTGTTGTCGGCAGATGATTTTGCTTCGTCTGCCGTTTCCTTACAGCCCTCTGGGCTGAAGTACCAGAGCTCTACGTACTCGTAAGATTTGAGCTTGTGGATAGCATACTGGGAGGGGCGGTGAGTAAGGGAGTCGCCGACAGAGGTACCTGCCTTGAAGTCATTGATCTTCGGCTTTTTCTTCTCCGTTTCTCTTCGCTCTTTCTCAGCTTCTAGCTCGAGGGTGAGTCTCTCCTGTTCCACATGTTCGTGTTCAGCCTGGGCTGCTTCAGCTGCCAGTCGCGCTTCTTCATTGGATTGTGCCGTCCAGGCGACTAAGCGGATGTCACGGTCTTGTTTCCAGCCATTGGATAATTCATTGGCTGCTTCATCGTGAGTAAGTTGCGAATTTCCAATGATGCAGTTGCGGATGGCTTCGAAAGTGGCGGATGCGAAGTTTGGCTCAATGTCCAGTGCCGGGTCTGACGTGATGCGGGCCATGATGAGATTAAAAGGGAATAGATTTGTTTTTATAAATGAGAGATAATGCTGTTAGGGATGGACAGTGTATGGATAGCGGAAGAAAGAAAAGAGCTCAACGATAGACTCGTCGAAGATCTTACTGGTGGAAGAGTGAGAAGAAGAAGCGCCGGCTTCTTCCGCTCTTCCAAAGACGGAACTCTAAGACTACGCTCGTGCCTCGCTGCATCATAGAGCGGCAATAAATGACAGGTAGGGAGATGCCGGAGATGCCAAATAATGAGTACGCAACGTCTTCCTGCACGGTGGTGACGCACTTCGATGCCCATTGCAGTTTCTCCCGGGCGCTGCTCATACCTGGACGGAAGGTCACCAGGGTCTGCGCATCTATCCCCGTTGCATCCTCCAACTCCTTTATGATTTCAGGGGACTCTTTGTGGTTGGGAGAGCGATCATCGAGATATAATGTCCAGTCCTTCCGATAAAAGATAACAACTTTTGGAGCGACGAATTCTTGAAAGGTCCATCCATGCTCGTTCCAAACGCTCCTCGCCAGTGCACCGGTGTAGAGACTCATGCCTCTCATGGTGTGATATGGCACTTTTCACTAGAGAGTTCATTGCACGAACTTGCAGCACCATTCTGTGTGCTATCTACAGCTATCCCTATATGAGGCGCAGCTTTCCCGCGCAACGCGCGCCATGCGCGCACCATTCCCGCGCTTCACGATGTATATACGCGCGCGCTTTCCCGCGCTTGATCGCCCTAAAGCGCCAGCCTTCCAGAAGCATCCATCCACTGTCCACCAAGCTCTCTAGTGCGTGTATTTCCATTTCCCTTATTTACATATCATTCCACCTTTATTTATATCATGGACCCTTACTTACATACATATATCTTTACATACCTTACTCGGTAGCGCTTCGGCTCCGCGTGACAGCGCTTAGGCGCCATATATAAGCGCCAGCATTACATACTATTAGAAACTTTCCAACTTTCCACTTGACCTCCCACTTACCCACTTACTACCTAGCTGAACATAGTAGAAATCTATTCTTTGACACCTCGGGCTTGTATCTCTTGTCCAGTATCTAATCACCACTCAAGCAAACTCACTCTTACTCTCACTTGCTTCCGCTCACGCGCGCGCGCGCTTCCCGCACCTCGCGCGTACCTTCACTTTCCCGCGCTTCGCATCAGCCGACCAGTAGCGCCTTCGGCGCGCACTACTAGATCCTTGCTGCACTCGCTTCCCCTTTAGGGTCGAACGCACTTGTCGTCTCAAGTATAGCAGACTAGGCAACGTGCGACCTCACAACATCACAGATACAGTCTGGAGCATTGTTTGTTCCTCTCAGTATTGTTGTTTCTACACCGGGCTGCGATGAAGGAGGGACGTTGCATAGGTAGACGATGGTAAGCACTGAATGGCGGTACCAGATGAACATGGAGTTGACCGACTCTTGAAGCTCAGTGTTGCTCTTCTTGTCGATGCAACACGTGTCCATCCACACCCAACAATACCCAGCATCACGAGCGACTTTGCAGAATGACTGCACTTTCGCGATGCCGTCGAGTCCCTTCAACTCATGCACATCTTTATCCTGGACGTCATGCAGCAGCGCCTCCTTCTCTTCCCACCTGTGTGATAGCATGACGCAGCAGAAGTACATTGCTACCGCTTCTTTGATGCGGTCCAGTTGGAGGTCTGAATGCTTCGTTGTGAATGACAAAAGCTCCTTGTACTTTCCACTTGATTTGAAGGTGTTTATTTGTGCCGCTCGATTGCACAAAAGACCTGTGGAGGTATTAAGTAGTCATAGCGGGGCATATTCGAGTTCAATCCAAACAGCTCTTTGAATGGTGTCTTCTACTTCAGATGGATGCACATGTTGCTGACGCAGGTCTGCAGAACGAGATAGGCATTTGGATGCTATGCAGGAGTCTTCCAAGGCTTACCTTGCATCCGCACTTCGGGAGAGTCGTCCAGCTTAGACAACATGGTTCTGAAGGCTTCAATGGCTTCGTCATAATGTTGCGCGCCACGTAGTGCTGCATGTGTCAACTGGTATCCAACGTGAGATGAAGGATTGAGCTCAGTCAACTATGCACCGCTGGAGTCAATATGGGTTACGAAGACATAGATGCCATCGCACCTTTTGCGCGTCGAGAAGCGCATCGTCCCATAGCATTTTACCTAACTTTGCCTTACTACAATTTGCAAAGACAGCATCAGACGCAGAATTCAGTTCGATCACTGCCGAGTAAAGGTCAATAGCCCTGTCATAGTCGCTTGCAGCGAGGGCAGCATCCCTGCTGGTAAGAAAAGGTGCGCTGCATTCTTGCTTGAAAGCTGAATGAAATGGGAGTGAGGATTGTAGCTTGCGCGATATTGCGAACTCGAGACTTGCCGTTGGACCATTCATAACAGCTGACCTTCGTTGCTTCATTGATATTATCCATCATGTATTGGTATGATCTAACGGCATGTTGAAGTTTACCTGCCAGAAGGAATGCATGACAACGTTTCTGGTGTGCAGTGAGCTGCAATGAGTTGAGATCCCAGCCGAAGAGCTGAATAAGACACTTAAATACGAGAAAAATTTCGGATGTGTATTCACTTACCACTACCAAGTCCTCATATATGAGATGAATGGGTGAACTCGATGAGAGAGCATTCGACTTGAGAATGGCGGTAAAATGGTCAGCGGCTTCTTCGTGACGTGTGTCATCCAACACCTTGATTCCTAGTTGAACACGCAGATATCCCTGACGTGCGAATTGCAAAGATTAGTGTTGATGACTAAGTGCGGATGCTACTTACTTGCACGACACAACACCCGAGAGAATCGGCATTCGGACAGCCAGTAAAGAGTTCTTTGAGGAGCAGCTTTGCCTCGTCGTGTTGGTCTGCATTGAAGAGGACGATGGCCTGAAAGATGTGATGAAGCGGGCAGTATGTGAGGTAGATGTAACATACTTTGATCAAAAGCAGGAAATGGAGAATTTGTGAGTCTTGGTCCATGTACATTGATGCGACATCAAATGCTGCCCTCGCATCCGGGACGCGACCTTTTCCGCAGAGGGCAATGCCCTTGGATATGTAGCCTGTCAATGAAGGCTGAATACTGATGGACTATGTTACCATTAAGTTAACCTTTTGTAAGGGGGCCATGATCAATGCGTATAACTTACCTTGATTGCATCCTGAAGGGCGTGGTCCCAGTTGTGTTGTCGAGCCATCACGAATGAACGATGGGCATAGGAAGAATAGTTGTTGGCGTTGGTGTTGATATCTTGCGTGAGTAGTTCTTCGGCGGTAGACAAGTCCCCATCTATGCATGCAATGCGGGCTGTTGTGATGGCTAGGATCTGCACAAAACATGCTCGAATTGTGGTATATGAGTCAAGGACAGAAACATGCCTTTGGATGAATACCTTGACTCGGAGGTACTGCCCACTCCGAGATTATCTTATTGTCACCTCCGCTCAGGATGTGATTGCCGTCCACGGAGAAAGTGGCACAGAACGGCGTAGTTGTGTGCTTGAAAGTGGCAATGGTTCGTTGATCTGAGAGCCGCCAGAGACGGACATGATTGTCACGGGATGCGGATGCGACGAGTGTGCCAGCAGGATGAACGGCAATGTCGTTGATATGATTAGAGTGGCCCGTCCAAGGATCGTGGACCTGCTTCCAGGTCGTTGTATCCCATTCACGTATCGTAGCACTACCACCTGTGAGAAGGCGAGTACCATCGGGCGTCCATGCGAGTGAGAAGTTAAATGTGTGAGCCTTGAAAGATGCAATGCGTTCCCTCGTGCCTGGATTATAGATTTGAATATCCTTGTTTGTTGCGATGGCAAGAAGTTCTCCAGAGGGTGAATACCGTACGCAGCGAACATTATCACACCCAATTGGGTCTGAGTCCTGCTCCCAAGTTTGGGTGTTCCACAGTTTCATCGTTCTGTCGTCAAGTAAAGCAGTGACCAGCACTGTTCCATCAGGAGAAAAATCTAGCACGAGTGAGTAGAGTGACTGGTGGGCTTCAATTTTGGTGAGTGATTCGCCAGTTTCTCCCTGCCAGACGATGACCGTGACGTTCCCATTGATATCACCGCTTGCTATCAATTGCCCATCTCGTGATACTGCCAATCTCCACACTTCACTACGATGCCCCTCCATCTTCTTCAACACAACACCTGTCTTCAAGTCCCACAGGCGAAGTGTTCTGTCCCATGAGCCCGTAACCATCCGCTGTTTGTCGGGGAACACTGTGGCTGTTGTTACGGGTCCTTCATGGCCTTCTAACTTTTGCACGGGTATGGTGATTGGAATGAGCTCCGACATTTTACTGGAGGTTGATGTCGTTTGGCATGGTCAAGGTGGACTTTGGAGGGATTGTGGGTATCTTTCCGCACAGGTGTATTTTGCAGTCTAAGATATGACTCCCTGCGTTCACCTGTCTCATTTCAATAGACGCTCAGGACACCTGAGGCTGTTCGCTTCCACGCCTTCGATAATGCAGCACTACTTATGGCAAAAATGCACCCTATTATCGTACCCACTAAAAATATACCGGGCCTCCCAGCGCCTCAGTGCATTATAGCTAATTGCAATATCACCTCTTCATCCCTCTATGCGTTTCGAATGCGAATGTCTGCGATACGTTAGAAGACAAGCTAGCAAACTCGGTTTTCAACGGTGCGTGATGTTTACAGAAGGGACTGCTAGAAGCTAATGGCTGATAGAAGAAATATTTCATTGGGTATTTGGGCGAAAGCCCGCAGGGCTTGTCTGGTCCAAAACATGTGTCTGTACCTGTGGTGCAAGGTGAGCTGTGTTCCTGAATTTTAGGAGTTCAGTGACGCATGCAGCGAAGCTTGATGCCCTTATGTTCTAGGAGATGGACTTACTCCAGTTTGTTACCCGATTGGAGGCATGGTATGGCGTGTGAACGGCTCGAGTGCTGGAGAGGCTTGTGTTACGACTGGGATGAGTCGAGCTATCTCTGTCTGAATAGACAATCGGCTGAACGCCAGATAGACGTAAGTCTGCTCTCGATTGAGAGATCAAAGGTTCTGGCTAAGGCGAGTGTCGCTGACTCCCTTAGAATAGTGGTTTTTAGACAGTAAGGTTGGAGACCTTACTGAAGGACAATGTTCCAGGTAAAACCCAGTAGATTAAAGTAAGGAATACAATCGTAAGTAGCTAGGTTTATATACGAATGTTCAAGCGGAGCTTGTAAATGTGTTATCAAGATAGAAGCATGATAAGGGATAAGGATCAGAGATAAGGCGGACAGCCCGCTTGGCGAAGATAAGAGATAAGCATGATATGGACAGCCCGTTTGTAAGCAAGAATAAAAGAAATGAGTATAGGGGCTAAATGTTACTGTAACATTACCCCCATGTTACGGTTGAAGTCTCTGACTTCAATATTCCTCGGTGTTGGTATATTCGTCCATGTAGTCGTAGTAGATGGGGTCTGCGTCAGCATTACAGAACTCTGGTTCGTTATACTTGGTGGCATACTCCCTGTTTGCCCGGTCTATTTCCTCCTGGAGTTCTTCGTCTTTCTTGGCCTCCCAGGCCGATAATGCTTCATAGAAGCCTTCATCGGTGTAAACCAATGGAAATAATATTTTTTCAGCAGCGTAGGGGCAATAGATGGATAGATGGCCAGGCTTCTGGCCTTGGCATATGCGGCAGTGGTATTCTGGGCAGTTCTTGTGGCGATGCCCGAGTTTCTTGCAGACGCGACAGACGAAGTTGTCTGCGGGGAAATGAGGTTGCTTTACTGTGATGACGTCGGGGGTTTCGGTGAGGTCAATGACTTCACGCTTCTTTCCCTTAGAAGCTCTAGTCTTCGACACTCCGTGCATGGTAGCTCCTCTGCGGGTCTTTCATTTGAAAACGACGGTGGGTTCGGGGATAGGTAGTGCTTTTTCAGCTGATGTTGGCTGAGTAGCAGGCTGAGCTTCTTCTCCAGCCGTATCTGCAGCAGGTATGCTGCTGGGGGGAGCGCTAGTAGCAGGGCTTGGCGGGCGACCGACTTCGGTCTTGTTTCGTTCTTCAACAGCCCGTATAACTGACTTGCAGACAGTGCTAAAAGCAGAAGGAAGCAGCTGAATCTCAAGGCTGTGTATCTGTCTCTGGAGGTGTTGGCAAGCGAGTCTGAGGGCATCGTTTTCGATTTCTTTGAACCTAAGTTCAAGAGCGGAGGTGGCGCGTATGACGTGGATCTGGGAAATTATGGGAGCGGCAATATGTGCGGGTTCTTTGGCGAGCTGTTTTTCTAGTTCAATTGCGTGGGGAAGGGATAAAAGAGTTGTCTCGACGATGGCGTCGTCGTCTAGGTCAAGGATGTTTTTCTTATACGTGGAGTTTCCAAGAGAGTGGTTGGACGAAGATGATGATCCAGTGGAGGAGGGTGTCAATGGGGGAGTCATGTTACTTGGGATGTTTGTTTCAAGGGGATGGTTCGTTCAGTTCAACTTGTGCCTCCTTTTATACGTTGTTAGAAGCTCCTTTGAACTCCGCAAGTTCTCCTCGGGTATCCATTCGTTGCTTCCGGAAGAGTAGCCGATCCAAGATACGAGATAGCGTCTTCGTTTACCCATGCCTTTATGGCTAAGAATAGCTTCTACTTCGTATT